TTTTTTTTTTTAATACAAAAATCAAATCTTCATTTATACTGCAAGCATTCTGGACATCTGTTGTATTGACCCATTTTTCAAATAGGTTATTTACCTTTATCTTTTTGTGGTGGTAATTTGTCTTTTGATTTCTTGGCTGCTGGTACCAAGTGCTGATTGTGGAATGACGCAAATTCTGTCTAGACTTTGAAAAAAAACCCTAAGGAAGAGAGGGTCAGGATGACTTGTGAGCAAGACAACGATGAAAGCAAAGGAGAGTTCCTGGAAGGAAATAGCCAGGAGGAATGGCTGAGAGATGGAGGGCTCGGGGCTGCACCAGGTACAATGGGGACAGCTGAGGGCTGGAGGGCTTGGGGCTGCACCAGGTCCAGCGGAGAGCGAGGGCAGAGGAAGTGCCAGAGTGCAGAAGAGTGCAGGCTCAGGAGATGGGTCAGGACTAGATTGTGGAAATCTGCTAAGGACAGAGGAGCTCAACTCACAGCAAGCAGGAAATTACTGGAAGTGTTAATTTAGGGTCAGTCATAAAGCTCTTTTGATTGTTGTTGTTGTTATGTGCCGTCGAGTCATTTGCGACTCATAGCAACCCTATGTACAACAGCCCTAAACCGTGCTCTATCCTGTGCCAATCGCACTGACTGACACACCCATCCCGATTACCCAAGTCACTGAATCAATCCACCTCATAGCATAGAGGGTCTTCCCCTCCTGCGCTGTCCCTCCACTCTACCCAGCATGATGTCCCTCTCTGTCTCTCCTTACAACATGTCCAAAGTATGTCAGACGAAGCCCCAGAATCCTTTCCTCCAAGGAGTAGCCTGGTTTAACACTCTCTAGGATGAATCTGTTTGTTTTCTTGGCAGTCCATGGTACATTCAATACTCTTCTCCAGCACCACAGCTCAAAGGCGTCAATTCTCCTTCTATCCTCCCTAGTCATTGTCCAACTCTCTGATGCATAACAAAGTGATTGCAAAAACCATGGCCTATATCAGGTGGACCTTAGTGTCCAGAGAGACATCGTTGCTCTTGAGTACTTTAGAGAGGTCCCTAACAGCAGACTTTCCCATCGCAGTACGTTTTTTGATTTCCTGGGTACTGGTGCCAAGAGTCTTGACCGTGGAGCCAAGCAAACTGAAGCTGTGAATAATCTCAATCTCTTCGCCATCCATCCTGATGCTACCGATTAGTCCAGTGGTGAGAATTTTTGTCTTCTTGACATTGAGCCTCAGTCCATATTGAAGGCTGCAGTCCTTGACCCTCTGCAGTAAGTGCATGAGGTCCTTCTCAGTTTCAGCAAGCAGGGCTGTGTCATCTGCATAACGCAAATTGTTGATAGATCTTCCACCAATCCTAATACCACGCTTCTCATAGAGCCCAGCCTCTCGGATAATCTGCTCTGCATACAGGTTGAAAAGGTATGGAGATAGGACACATCCCTGGCGTACACCCTTCCCAATTTTGAACCATGCAGTGTTGCCCTGCTCGGTTCTGACGATTGCCTCTTGGTCCAAGTATAGCTTTCACATTAGCACGATTAAATGTTCTGGGATTCCCATTCTTCTCAGAGTCAGCCACAGTTTGTTATGATCCACGCAGTCAAATGCCTTTGCATAATCAACGAAACACAGATAGACATTCTTCTGGTATTCTCTGCTTTCAGCTAAGATCCATCTAACATCAGCTACAATATCCCGAGTACCATGGCCCCTTCTAAACCCAGCCTGGACTTCTGGCAGTTCTCTGCTGATGTACTGTTCCAGTCATTTTTGGATAATCTTCAGTAGAATCTTGCCTGCATGTGAAATCAATGAGATTGTTCTGTAGTTTCCACACTCAGTTGGGTCACCCTTCTTTGAGATGGGAACAAATATAGACCTCTTCCAGTCAGTTGGCCAAGTGGTTGTTCTCCAGATTTCTTGGTACAACTTGGTGAGCACGTCCAGGGCAGCATCTGTTAGCTGAAATATGTCAATTGGTATACCATCTATTCCTGGAGCCTTATTTTTTGCCATTTCCTTCAAAGTAGCTTGAACTTCTTCTTTCATCACCATAGGCTTTGGCTCTTTTGATAGATAGTCTTAATAATGGAATACCAAATATTAATACCAAAAGCCTAAAAATCATCCTCACATTTTTTTTCAAGCAACAAAGATCCACCCAGTGTCTAGCTGGGGTCAAATTCAAACTCTTCCTGGATTAGTTGTAGAACATATGTCAAGTTACTCAGCACTTGAATGCCAAGTTCCTGATCTGCAAAATGGGTAACAGGACTTACCTCACAGAGTGACTGGAGGTAAAATGGGCAAAGGACTCACGAGAGTGCCTCACACAGAACAAGCACTCATGAGCACTGAGACTGCTGGGAGGGTTGTTGAGACGATTCACAGCCACCCTTGGAACAACTGCTCTGAATCCTGTCCTATCCTGTGCCATCCTCACACATCCTCACACACCAGAGCCCATTTTTACAGTCTACTTCTCAATCTATGTGGTGGAGGGTCTTCCCCTCTTTTGCCTATATTCCACCTTTTCTAATACGATGTCTCTTCCCAAGAAACAGCCTCTCCTAGAGCTTGTCAAAAGTATGTGAGGCGGAGTTTCTCCATCTTTGCTTCCAAGGAGCATTCTGGCTGCACTTTTTCCAAAACCTATGTTCTTTTGGCAGTATATGGGATATTCAGCACTCTTCTCCAACACCACAACTCAAAGTCATCAATTATTCTTCTGTCATCCTTAGTCCAACTCTCATATGTCTATCAAGTGATAGAAAAGACCATGGCCTGAATCAGGTACACCTTAGACTTCAAAGTGACATCATTTTTCCTCAGTACTTTGGAGAGGTCCTCGACAATCAACTTTCCCATGCAACGCATCTCCTGATCTCACTGCCGGTACGTGTGCTGACTGAGGTGCCACGTAAGATAAAGTTGTTGGCAACATCAGTCTGTTCTCCGTGACTCATGATGTTGTATCACACTGCCAGCACTGGCTAATACTGTTATTGCACACCTCCTACAGACTGACGCCTACAAGTCTACATCTATTAGGCCCTTTAAAACTCTTCATCAGAAGCCTCTCCGCGTTTAACCCACAGACACAGGTACCTGAGCTAGTTGTGAACATAAGCTGGTGGGATTCGTGCAATTAAGGCTGTGAGCTCAGGTGAGCTGCAGCAGACACATCCCAGAGCCGCTGGGGAGATGTGAGCACCCCCTACCTCTGGGGATACAATCCCCAGTAGGCTCTCTGCCCCAGGAAGCAGGGCCCACATCCAGTGGTCTCTACTCTCTGTGCCTAACATGCTCTCTTGTGCCCTCTCAGCCTTCTGTACACACGCCATGCACACACACAGAGCAGGAGGCTTAACCACAACACTGGTTAGAGGGACGATTTTCAATTCGTTACAAGCAATGTTTTGGATTAAGTGAAAACTGACCCTTAAGTAACTGCTCCAACGGGACCGTTCTTCCTTACCTGTGCATGTGCGGGGCAGGACAGCTAAGCGGGAGTGCCCTGGGCAGTACAGAAACTTCCTTCTTTCTTTTCTCTGACACATCAGGACTTAAAAGTCTCTTCCGGGTGATATCTGTACCAGTTATGGAAGTTTCACTCATTTTATTAAGAAAATTAAGTGCTAAAGACAAGGGGTATTTCCATTCCTCTGGACAGGAGGCCACAGGCCAAAGCTGCCTCACCCACGCATACACACAGGTGTGTTCTGTACCACGCGGATGCAGCTTCTCCATCCCTTCTGCTCCGTCCACACAACTCCTCTTCTCCAAGTGTTCTCTGGGTTTCAAGAAATGGGAATAAAGTTTCTTTTCTTTGTTCTTTAGTTTCTCTCCTGACAAACTCCCAAAAGTGCAATTTTTGTCAGCGTTTTCTATTAGTTTTCCATTTCTGGCTTGATTATGGTTTTCAGACAATACTACAGTTGAGCTTGGCTTTTGACTAACTTTACATAAAAAATGTACGGTGAATTCGTGTTGAGCTCTGGGCAAGCACAGGTATGCGTGACCTTCTAAAGACGTGATCTTCACAGAGCCAGTGTCCACACACATCACAGCACCATCCACATCAATATTAGGCCATGTCACCTCCGAGACGTCAATGAGGATGTGCTAGATGGAGAGAGAAAAGACGATGAGAAGTATCCGTAAACAGTCCGCCTTCTCCATACATGTGATGCCCAAGTATTATGTAAGAAAGCTCTTAAGAATCTCAGAGAACAGGAAATGACCCAGGTCTCAGTCTATATAAGGCCTTTCCCCTCCCAGAAAACAAACTAACTTTATTTATTTACTTAGTTAGTTATTTGCATATGAGTTTAGTTTCTTGATATTCTCTGCATTTATAATGTCTTTCAAAAACTCAGATTCCAAACAACAAGAAAAAAGAACTTCAATCAACTATCTAGTAATTCAGGGAAAACATTATGATGAAGTAATCCCATAGAACAAGGCAGTAAGTGTGTAAATATAAAATTCAATGACAGCAACGTTCCTTCTGTTTCCCAAGGCCTTGAATATGGAAGCGAGGCAGAATTATCTAGCAAATTAACTTAAATATAACAAGACGACTAGCTATATCTTTTTTTTAGTATATCCTACATGCCTAATGTAGCATTAAACACTTAATTTTGGTAATTTCATTCTCATGACATTCTTTTTTTTTTAATTGTATTATTTTTACGTGTACCGTCAAATCAGATCCGACTGGTACAGGAGGAGATTGCCCCCTCCTTCTCCAGCATAGCATCTGGTGGATTTGAACCGCGTACCTCTGGGATTTG